AGGTGAGGTTGTTTTGACTTTAAAGTTTATAACACCAGAAGTTTAGCCAAAATTATCTTTCCTGTTCTGGTGCATTGTGACCAAAATTGTGTTGGTGTGCCGTAAGACCAAACAAGACAAACTAAGACCATGTGTCAAGCATTTCGACGATAATTATAGATTATACTAAAGTCTAAAGCTTATCTATTTAATGATTAATTGTTTTGATATGCTGATAAAACTACACAATATAAAATGTTAGTAAATTTCAAAGTTACTTTAAACATAAGCAAAACAAACAGCCCACATTCTTACAAATGAATGTAGAGCTATTTCATATTTTTACATCAATTCTTATATAAATATTGCTTCATGTAAGTGTTAACACTTCCCTTTATATTTCGTTTTGTTAAAGGATAGTAATGGACACCTTTTAAAATTATAAAGCTTTGTAACATTTGAATGGAGTCAATGCAGACTTGCCATTATTCATTTTTTCAACAGTTTGTAATCATTTATACTTTGTAAATAATGAACCAACTTTATTTATTCTATGTGTTGCAGTTTTTGTCATGTAATAGGCTAGAAGCCTGTAGCATTTTGTGGTGTAAGTTTCAAGAAGTGGAAGAAATAGAATAGTTTATTCCAGTGATAAATCATACACTTTCATGTTATCAGCATATTGACTCACATACAATCTGTTTTTATCCTGGCAGTATGCCACACCCACTGGTCCTTTTATTCCTTGTTCTTTATCCAGTAGAATCTTCACCTTGGTCAAGTCAGGTGATAATTGATGTATATTGTTTGACCAATGTCCACATACAAACACTGCTCCAGACGTATCTACAGTCAGTTGACATGGCTCCTTCAACATGTCATCCTTATAAATGGCCTTGACTTCCCCATCAAAGGTTAAACCTATCACACATTGTTTGGCAAAGTCAGATACATATATAACTGTGTTGTTTGCACTGATTGTTAAGAAATGAGGATCAGCAAACAGACATTTCCCATGATGATCTTTATCAAATGTTTTCAATACTTTACCAGACATGTCAATTATCTTCACTGTTGCTGGACTGTCTGTGTAAGATACTATAAGGTTGTTGTTACTGTAGGCAACACCATGACAACCTGCTTCTGCTTTTATAGCTTCAGTGTTAGTCACAGTCATGCTCTTTGAAAATGTTATTAAACTTATTATTCCAAATCTAGGAAATGTGACAGCAACTTTAGTACTGTCAACTTTAGCAACAGCCCAAGGGTATGAAGGCAGGTCTATTGTATCATATGATGTAGTGCTGACCGACATATCCTTGAATATAATTAGTTTTGAATCATCAAAGTTATATATAAGAAGACTGTTTTCTGATAACAAGCATAGAGATGACCAGGAGTCAAATGTGACTTTAGTATCTGTGTAATAACTTGCAGTTCTTTTTACTTCAGATTCATGTATTTCTTGATAGTTGAAAAATTTGTCACAGTCTTGTAAATTGGTTATATTTTGTTCAGAAGCTTTGCATTCAACTTTGTAATAATGAATTGAATAGTTTTTATATTGTTTATCTGCATCTGGTTTCAGTTGATCAATGATTTCTTGCCCCATCTTCATAGCAATAAACAGTTGACATCTTTGATCTGTACCTTGATGATGAGCTAGCTCTGTTGATATCTTGTTCAATTTTGTTTTCACTTTTGAGGTTTCTTCAATGATTGTCTGCAAAACTTTCTTGTCATTCTTTTTTATGATTTCAATTTTCTTCTTAATTTCATTTTCCTCATCATTTAATAACTTTTCTAATTTCCTTTTATTTTCTTGTAATTTGTCAATTTTCTCTTTTTTCTCTTCTTCCAGTCTTTGTAAGGTTTCTTCTATTTTTCTCTCAAAGTTTTGAATTATAATCGTCTGATGTTTTTCAAACGCTGACAATATTTCTTTCTTTTTTTTCATGATCGTATCTAATATCTTTGTATCTTGTGAAGCGACACATTTCATGTTTATGTTAACATGTTTTTCTGTATATTCCAAATCTTTCATTAAAGTATCAAGATTTTCAGTGAGTTCTTTAATTTCTTGGTGTTTTAAAAAATCCCTGGAACAAGAGCGGGGAAAATTTGGCTGACCATACCCCCATTTCCCAAAGGGTTTTTTATTTTTTGATTCCCATTTAACAGGAAAAATTTTTAAACCAAGCTTGAAAATAGAACTTGCCCAAAGTTCACCCTTGTAAACAAAAACATTTCCCCAAAGAAGAAATCCGGGGGGCATGTTACCCTTTTAAAAACCTTGATAGTATGGGGAACCAAATCTTTTAGGGGAACTTCACAAAATGTTCCACACAATTTAACTCGAAAAAAACTCTTAAAACAAAATCCCTAGGCGGGAAAAAACAAAATTGGCTTGTCATGTTTTTTCAAATGTTCACAAAACATTTCCTGAACTTCATCAGAGTCCTGTGTTAATGAAGCACTGAAGTCTATCCTGGATTGTGCCATGTTTTTTTTAATTTAAAATATGAATAAACTATGCAGTACTGTCTATCTAGTTCTGTTTCAAATGGTTCAAATGAGGAAGTTTAAATCTTTACACTGACAAATTGATTACTCTTATTTAAACTGTGTGTAGAGACGGTAGTTAACTGGTGTCTATTTGCTATTTCATGTTATTTATAATGGATTTATAAATAGCAGTTGTTAAGGTAAATTTCTACTGGGTTGTGAGATTATAAAATGGATGTCAAAATATTAAACAACTGATTTAACTTTGCAGCATGTTTTAATTTGTTTTTATTCATTTTTCGTATAAATTGTAATTGTCATCTTTGTAAACATTTTGAAATTTTTGTAAATATTTTTCCCACGTTTAACTTTTAGCCTGATTTCCTTGTAAACAATTTTTATAATTTGCAATCACTAAACTTTAAAAATTTTCATTGGTTTTAATATAAAAGTTATCAAATATAAACAACAGTATTATCTGAATAACTTTTATTACAGCTCAAAATTGGTAAATTAGGTTTTATAATGTTGTACACTATATTTACGTGTTTTTATGTGGTTATGTAATGATTGTTATGAATATTAAAGTTAACATAGGCCTATGAATAAATCAAGATTAATAAAAAATAAATAAGACAAGATAGACCATGAATAAGTCAAAGATAGCAATGAATAAGTCCGATAGATTTCTTCATAAGAAAACAAACAGTTGACATCTTCTATTTGTATTTCAATAATGAGTCAGCTCTATCGAAATGGTGGTCAGTTCTGTTCTCATTTTATATGTTCAAAAAAAAATAATATATATATATTATATATAAAATGAAGGTTCTTCAGCTATAAAGGAGGATTGCTTTTTGAAGGAGCATTCTGAATGGTATCTTTTATCTCTACTTCGTTCATAATATGATATTCATATGAAATATTCCCATGTCTTACAAATGCTTTATCCTTACTAAAAAATAACACTTTTTGGGCATATAATGCTCCGCCTAGCGGTGCTCTTGTTATGCTCCCCGAAAAATTTCGGGGGAGCATATAGTCGGCGCCTTGTCCGTCCGTCCGTCCGTCTGTCCATTTTGCTTATGGACGTTGGTCCAGGTGGTGTTTATGAGCTGATTTGCCTCATAAATGTCAAAAGTTGGTACATCCGTCCGTCTGTCCATCCGTTGTCTTGTCCGGAGCATAACTTGAAAACCCTTGGGGAAGATAAAATTTTTGGTTTAAAACTTCGATTTACGGGGGGGTAGAGGGCATTGGGGGGGGAAGGGGCAGTGTCAAAAAATTTCAAAAACTCAAAGAAAAAGGGCCTCATTTTTTAATTTTATTTTCCCTTTTTAAGAAATTAATTTTTTGGTTTTCCGCCCGGGGCAAATTAAAACCAAAAACTTTTAAAGTGGAATTTAAAAAACATGAAAACTTGTTGGTGTAAAATTTAACTCAAGGGGTTGGGATGTCCCAGGGGAAAATTAAGAACAAAAAAACTCCTTTTTGTCCAAATTTTTGGGAAAATTTATTGCCCTTTTTTTTAAATTTTTTTTAACCCTTTGAACTTTTCCCGGGGAAATTTAAACCTTCTAAAAACCTTTATAAAGAGAAATCAAAAAATGAAAATTTTTAAGGGTAAAAGAAGAATCTCATTAAAGAAGGGGTACAGTGCAAAAGAACCATAAACTTTGTTAAGCCTCATTTTTTAATTATCTCCCCTTTTAGAAAAATCTTGTCCAGGACATAGCTGTAAAACTATAAGAGATATCAACATGAAACTTTGTAGGTAGATATATCTCAATGGGTAGATGTGCAGTGCACAAGAATAATAACTCTGCCTTGCCTTATTCTGGAGAAATTGCCCTTTGTTTAGTTTTACTTTTTGAAGTTGTCTGGGACATAACTCGGAAATCATAAGAGATATCATCAAGAAACTTTGAAAGTTGATAGATCACATTGATTAGAAGTGCAGTGCAAAAAAACAGTAACTCTGCCTTGCCTAATTTTGGAATTATTGCAGTTTGAACTTTTTCCAGGGACATAACTCTGAAACTACAAGAGGTGTACTCTTCCTGTGTCCAAAAACCTATTCGGGGAGCATCACCCAGCTCAAACCGGGGCCTCTTTTTTATAATTTGTTAAGATCGTCAGTCATGAAATTCTCCCATCAATATTTTTCTGTGAAGTGTGAAACAAGACTGCTCATTAAGCCGTTTGACCTTGTTATGCTTGTTAAACGTTTGACCTTCGTATGCTTGTTAACCCTTTGACCTTGGTATGAAAAATGTTACTAATGTGCCTATGTTTCCATTATTAAGATGAATTTGACTTGCAACCAAAAACAAGCATATTTGAATAATTTAGATGTTAACAGTTCAAGTTTAAAAGGCAAGATTCTTAAATTATTTTGTGAAAAATCAATATAATTTGGCCATACATGTATGTATGATAGAAATAATTATAATATATAAGTTCCTATTTTTTTAGTAGTTTAGGTTATATGGAGTTTTTACGTATATTTTTAACAGGGAAAAGAGCAATGGTGTTATAGTTGGTATTGATCTAAGTGGAGATCCAAAATGTAAGTTAATTATTTTATAATGAAAACAATCATTTAACATTTATACTGATGAATGTTTTAGAAAGATTTGACCAAGCATCAATTTTGAAACAGTACATTATCAACTTAAGGGTTATTACTATGAAGAATTTGAAAGTTTGTCTGCCATCTTTATACAGTAAGATTACACAGATCTGCAGACAGGTCTGACATATTTCTTTCTGACAAAGGTTAGTATAGTGTAAGGGTAAATAAATTGAAGTTTTCCCAACAAGACAAGATGTTTACAATCAGGTAAGACATGTGTTGTGATTTATATTTTAATCTTATATAAAACTGAAAGAAAACTGCAATGCCACTTATATATGAGCCGCGTAATGACAAAACCAACATAATGGGTTTGCAACCAGCATGGATCCAGACCAGCCTGCGCAGGTTGGTCTGGATCCATGCTGGTGGGAAACGCACTATGTTGGTTTTGTCGTGACGCGGCTCATATAGAGCTAGGCCAGTCTTTACATCCATGAACTGTGACTTAACTCCATACTATTTCACCTTCTTCCTAACAATCATTTTGTTACCTGCAAAATTTGATAATGTACTGTTTTATAATGGAAGTTGGACTAAAACATTTGGGAAATTATGTAGATGAAAGGTTAATGTAATACGATAGCTAACATACGTGTATATGTAATTATATAGATTTATGTATTTTGTGTATGGTATACTACACCAATGCTTAATACCCAAATGTTAAGGCTGGTCATGCTTAATAGATTACATGGAGTTATTCATCTTTAAATCTGGACAAAACCAGTTATCATTTTTAGGAGAAATTTAATATAAGTACGGTTGGAATAATAAACACTGCATACAATGTAGAACTTGTTCTGCACTGGTCACATAGGTAAATTCACTTCCTGTCAGCAGGCTAAAAAATAAAGTTAAGTTATGGTATTTTCCATAATTAAATTTACAGACTGTTGGCATGTCTTCTTACTACATGTAGTAATATAACTTTACCACTGATCATCCGGCTACTAGTATTCAGCTATAGATTTACCCGTACAAGTTATTCTGTCCGCTGGTGGTAACTCACATTATGACAAAATTTTGTCATTCTCGCAGGTACTCATTTACACTTTAATAAAATGTTGGTCAATAATGCATGTCTGATATTTGACAACTTTCTCTTTTCAGGTTGGTAATGCAGATATTTTCATTCCAGCGTTTAAAGAGGCCCAGAAACATGGGTTAAAGTTAGCACTTCATCTGGCTGAGGTGAATTGTGGGGTTTTATTTGATTGATTTAAAATGAGATTACCTTTATTGAAATGTTAATTGTCAGTCAGGGTAATGCATGTTAATCTTACCACTGATTTCATGAGATGGTCCTTTTACAAGTTGTATAGTAAAATCTTCTTTGCCAACTTGTATAGTTAAATTTTCTAGGAAAGATAATTTACCAGTTCATGTAGTTTGAATAGAATGTGAAGCATTTTACTCTAAGTAAATGGAAATAAGATGTCACATAGATATTATTATCAATTTGTCAATTTCTATCAAGTTGTCAATTTATTATTTATAATTCAGTACTTATCCAAAGTAAATGTATATTGCTTGAATGTCAGTAAAAAGGATTAATGTCCTGCCTATAAAAATGGGCTGAGGTGCTAATTGCATCTGCAGCTCTGCGTCTGGTTTGCTTCATTCAAACTTATTAACAGATACAGGCTAAAATAGATTCTTCTGCATTCTCTTTCAGTTTAGCAATGTTTCTTATTTAACTGTGACCAAAATTGTACATGCAAGCACCTTTGCTGTCACCACTATTGTTTTAGCTGTAGTGAAAACAGAAGATAAACACAAAATATGATTTTGTAGAATTTGTTAAATTAACTAGGATGATGAATGGATAAAATTGGTGAATTAACAGCAGTATAAAAGAAGAAATGATAATCAAACACTGTGTACATGTAAAGAGCTCTTTTTAATACATCCATAAAATGTAATAAAAGGGAATGGTTGCCAAATGATTAAGATGGATGCCTCTCAACCCAGGGATCTTTTGTTCAAGCCTACTTGTGTTACACTCACGCTTCTACATATGACACCAGTACTGCTTATGTAGTTCCAAGAAGCAGACTTGAAAGTGATTAATATAAGTTTCAATAACTTGTTTTGCAATCAAGCTTATACAATACAGTTTATGTTTAAATCTAATGTATTAAATGTTGTTACTTATTTTAAATTTTTAGGTTCCAGCACCAGAAGAAACTATAACCTTGTTAAGAGAAATTATACCAGATAGAATAGGACATGGAACATGTTTACAGCCTGATGCTGGTGGGACCAAAGATATTGTAGAGTTTGTTGAAAGTCATAGAATTCCATTAGGTAATGAATTAAGAATTCCATTAGGTAATGAATTAAGAATTCCATTAGGTAATGAATTAAGAATTCCATTAGGTAATGAATTAAGAATTCCATTAGGTAATGAATTAAGAATTCCATTAGGTATTGAATTAGAATACAGTAATGATTCAATGATCTGAGATATCTGTAGATATGACAATGTCTGTTAGAAATGTTTGAAAACCACATCAAAATAAATACTGCTCATAAAATTTTGTTTTACATGTAAATGAATGGATTTTGGCTTGACTATTTGAAAAATATGGAGAGCTATTAAACAGACATTGGCATAACATTAGTTAATTTTTTGTGTGGAAGCTGGTATCTCTAAAACTACTGTTACAGAATTATGGACGTTTTTGTTCATAAAAATTCTACATTATCTAGGTTCTTGTTTTACTATCAACACTGAGAATAGTTGAACATGTTGTTCTACCATCAGTTCTTGTTTATGCTATTGTAATGCAAGTTTTATCTGGACTATGTGAAAAATTTTGGTTTAAGGTTTTGCCTTCAATTTTGATGTCATCAAAAATATTGCATGTGTCCTATGAGTCATTATTACAGGTTGTTGTCAAAGACAAATAACTCTGTCATTGTTTTTCACTGAATAATTATTTTGCTTTGTAAATTTATTCAAGTCCTGCATATTCCATACTTTTTTACTGAGAAAAGTTGTACACACAGTCCGACTAGCAGCAATTGTTGTTAATTATAACATAGATGCCATAAGGTCCCAGACTGTCCTTGAAAAAATCAGGTGACTGATTGAATTTACCATAACATTTTGTCTTGTTGTCATAATATTTGCAAAAATTAAATACCAGTAATCTAGGTTGTATGTAAATTTTAGAAATTATTTGATTGCTTATCTCATTAACTTCTTTAACTTACCCATGGTTGTGTTATTACATGATATATTATTAGTTATAAAGATTTTTTTGGCAGGTTATATGGCCCTATTAGTGTATAAATAGTTGTTTATATTATATTGTTATAATTGTTATATTGCAAATGATTGTTCAAATATGGCCATATATCCTGTCATGAACCAGTATAAAGAATTTATAATTGTAGAGATGAAAATCATATTAATTCTTAACTCAACAACAGCTGTGTGTATAGGATATATAAACATAAAGATGATCTGATGAAAAGCATGTTTATAAACATGCAGTGTTATAAAAACTAATGACAACTAGATTCTCTTGAATAGATGAGTTATGTATTATAAGGGATCTTACTTGAAGGATCAGCCCTCACTGTAATTTGGCGGATGACAGATTTAAAATGTTTTTGAAACTTAAGTTTTTAAGTGTAAAAAAGGTTGTTATTTAACATTAATATTTCAGTCTTATTTGTGTTTATTCTATGGTAAGGTTTTTTTATTTCAGAGTTGTGTTTATCGTCAAACATTATCAATATGACAGTACCAGGGTATGATAACCACCACTTTAAATTCTGGTATGATTTGGAACATCCATGTATTATATGTGTAAGTAATTTTGTAAAATATGCATAAATATGTATGTGAAATATGTGTTAAACTTGTAACATATGTGTATCTTTATAACACAGTGAATGACTTTGTAACATGAATGTAATTTTATTGTAATATACGTGAAAATTACACCTTGTTCACTAACAAGCAGAAAAATCACACGAAAAATGAGCACGCTGCAGCCAGGCCTGGTACCACATACATGTATAAATGTAGTAATAAGTATAAATGCTTATGTGTAAAGAATACAAGTTTAGGTTTTAGTTTTTTTTACACATTTATTTCAGACGGATGATAAAGGTGTGTTTTCTACCTCCATCACTGAAGAGTACAGCATAGCAGCAGATACCTTCCAGTTATCATCTGACCAAGTTTGGCAGCTATCTTACAATAGTATTGACAGTATATTCTCTGACGAGACAACTAAACAATTACTTAGAGAAAAATGGAAGACTTTAAAAGAGAATTTGTTATTGAAAAGTTAATATTATTTTCATTGTTTTGTTGCTTGCAGCGTAAATAAATTTTATTTTTTCAACTTGTTCATTAGTTACTAGCTTATTGGCCAATTGAACATGTTTGAAATTATAATTTCAAAATCAACAGTCATGACCAACCTCCACACCAATTTTAGGCCAAAACCTTCTCTGGTTATTGGTCAGACAAGCTTTTAGTGGTAAAAGCCATGGTGACCATAACCTACTGACATCAAAATTAATTATAAATGGGATCATCTACTACACCAGGCTCAACCCTTTCACTGCCATATGCCGTCCCTATTATTTTCGGCGTATTTGCCATATGGATGGTTTTTGCCCTTTCTATAATAATAATTATAATAATAATAATTATAATTATAATAATAAATCATAATAAATATATAGATAATTATACCATCGACAATAATTATTATTATTCTAGCAGATTTGGAAAGATTTATAATTATTATAATACTAGTAACAAATAATAATATTAATTAATAATATAGTAATTTCTTAGAAAACCTGGCAAATAGGTGATCAATAAATAAATAACCCTCTGGCAGCGAAAGGGTTAAGAATTCTCAAGTTTAATATTGGTCTGTTGACAGCCATGGTGACCTTGTCCTCTGACCTCAAAATCACAAGGAATCATCTTGACATTACCAATCTACCCGCCAATTCTTAGGACTGTAGCCCAAAGCATTTCAACAGTCTTAGTGGTCACGGCCATGGTGACCATGATCTCTGACCTTAGTCAATAACGGTTATTTACTGCTGCCCAACTTCCACACCAGATCTTGGGTCTGATGGCCAAAATGTTCTTGTTGTTACTGGTCAGACAAGCTTTTAATGGTCAAGGCCATGGTAACTTTGTATTTTGACCTCAAAATCAATATAGATCATCTACTTGTGATGAACAAGCTACACACCAAATCTTAGAACTGCAGGCCAGTGTTCACTAGTGATTGGTCTGACAAGCTTTTGAAGGTCAAAGCCATTGTGGAGGAATTTTAATACAACTTGGGACAAATAGTTAGGCGGAGTGTTGCGCCGAAAACTCGGGTGTCTGTAGCAAAGGTCAATGTCACACATAGGGGTCAAAGGTCAAATAGCAAAATTAATCAATCATTTGCGAGTATAACATCTATATACATGGATTGATTTTAATATAACTGAGCAAAAATGTTCTTCATGTTGAGTTGTTTTGTGCAAAATGAAGGTCAAGGTCACACTAGGTCAAAGGTAAAAAAATATATTAAAATTTGTTGGCGCTGTATCTTGCTTATGCTTTGAAGTATTATGCTTAGGGGTCAGAGGATTTTTGTCAAGCCCGCTTGCACTGAGCTTGACATAGTTGTGAGAATGGCTGTTCAGGGTTTGCGTGTGTGCCTAAACTTGTCCATGTCATAACTTCTTGCATATAGGAATTTTCAAATAACATGAATTGAGTTTTTTTAGTCACAAATGCTTGTCATGCGACTTTGCGTCATGCACATGAACAAGGTCACCTAAAATGATTCAATATCAAGAGTTTGCCTTGGGTATAAAGAGTCTGTGATCCTAACATACCACCTATGTATACATCTAGTTTACAAAGCCTTTTAAAGCAACAATAAAAAAGAATTTTCATTTATATTTCCAGTTCTTATAATGTTTTATTTTTATACAACACCGAAATTATACCTCACATACACTAACGCCACAGATTTGATCCATATCAAAGCACGGACTTCTATCGCACCATTGGCCAGCGCAGTGAAAATGTGCTTCTGAAAATCCGTCTATTGGGCCATTAGGTTTGTAGTTTGGTGCAAAATAGCAAAGGCTATTTTTCCAAGTTGCAGAGTGAAGGACTTTGAGCAAAAGTTTTACCATATTTATGATTGTCCCCGCAGGACAGAGCCTTTAAAAAGGGTCTGTTAGTGCAAGCTATGGCAATTTCAAGTTTTAGCTTGTTAGTTCTTAAAGTAAGGAGCTTGTAAGTATTTAGAGTCAGGGGCCTTTAAGTGCTTAAAATAATGAATATTGTAAATTTTTAAAGTAAGAAGCCTGAAAGAAATTAAATGAGCTTGTATGTTCTTTACATTTAAGGAAGAAGTCCCTAAGAATCTAAAAGAGTTCTATACTGGTAGAAACAGTTTATTGATACCGACAAAAACAAAATATTTTCCAGCTTTGCTGGTGGAGGAAGATCTCAGGTGCTCCTTGGTACATTATTTTAGACCCAAGTGGGCACCTTAATAGAACCAAAGAAGTTCCGTAAGGCCCTGCCACACTAGACTGCGCTTTCACTTGTACGGCGTTGTTAAATTTAACAAAAATCTGAAATTCTTTATGACATTGAGACATAACGGCGTCTTCACGCAGTTCAGGGGAACTGGATAGCTTTCTCACTTAAAAGAAGAATCCAAACTAAAAAGTTCCAGCGGTGAGGGGCAAATGGTTTGAAGTCAACGACTTAACCACTTATGGAAGTAACTATCACAAATCAAATCATCAATTATGAAAGCAAGAATTCTCTCCCTCATTTTGAAAATGAATTTCTGTGTTTTGCTGGACCAATGGAAACAGTAAATGTGTTCCCTGTGTGCTTACAGTTCACACCCTTATCGAATACTTAGTAATAAAAAAACCCTAACACGTAACGTAACTTAGCGCAAGAAAGACACTGGCAGTAACAAAGCTCTAGGACATCTTCAGAGTTAAAGAACTCTGAAAAATCGGGCATAAACTTGTTAGCCGGGGTTTTATGTTTGCAAATTTCCGTTATGATTAGGTAACTATGTATTGCAAGGAAGAAGATCATAAATGAACAAGTCAATATGTACGAATGAACAAATAATTTTGAAATTTTACTCAAACTCGAGGCGATGAAAAATGCACTATAAAATGTTGTGTGTGTGGGTGTTTTCTGACACATAATACAATTTGTAAGGCAAGCTTAATCATCAAAGTTTAAACTCTCTTTTTTAATAGTTACAATAACCATTTTGACGAGTGTTTCTTCAGAAAATACAAATATTTTCCGACGAAATCCTACCGTTTTCCAGAAACTCCGTACGTGGCAGTTATCAGAATTATCAGAGGAACGCCTGACAAATTATCATAAAAACTCCGTTCTCCGTGTAAAAGTTCCTCCCCCGTGATTTCTGAACTGTCTTGTCAAAGCGGGGAATATGTTTGGCGCCAAAAAGTCGGATATCCTGAACTAACATAGTGAACTGACAAGGTGAAGACTGGATTCATTCTTTTAATTTGCCGATTTATAAAATTCAAAATTTATTATTTATCTTTTAATTTAAGTTCTTTCTGTAACATTGAACACGTTCAAGAAATTCTTATTGAAATTTCCAGGGGAAATGAACAGATGGTAGATATTTAACGGTTTTGTTTTTCTGAAAGTCCTGACTTATTCTTAGATATATATAAGTAAATGGTGCAAAATCAGACAAGGCTTATTCTTGTTGCTTTGTGCTGGTGATAAGCATTTGATTTAAAGTAAATCATGCTGAATGTGGTGTCAAAAAAATTAACAAAATGAAATTTTCATGAGTCCTGCAACGTACGTATATATAAATGTGTGTTTGTAAAATTGTCAAAAAAAATACATCTAGAAAGTATAACACGTGCTACGCTTCTGCCTCTGTTATTTGAGGTTTTCAGCTCGCAACAGCCGAATGAGATGTATTATTGTTAAATGGTTTGCGATCCCTTACTGAATTCTGCCAGAAAATGCTGCACAGATGGTTATGACAGAAAGTCTTATGATTAAAGGGAAGTAACTACCACTATCAAATTTTTCTATTATGAATGTAAGATTTGTCTCCCTCATTTTGAAATGAATTTCTGTATATTGCTAGGCCAATGAAAAAAGTCGACGTGTTTCCTGTGTGTCCTTTTGCTACCATCCATATTTTGTACCTAGAGCATAGTTTTTACACCCTACAAGTATTTTAAAAGGAATAACAAGTTACATCAAGTATTGTTTTCACATTTCAGTGGATCTACTTGAAATTTCTGAGGGCAGTATGACAAAGACTGAGTTTTCAATGAAAGCGTGTGTATTCGAAGATTTTATTGATGGTTTCAAAAATATTTTGAACTAAAATGAAACTAACATCAATAATATATGCCTTAAAATCGGTAATTCAACATTTTAAGAGCACACACACGTTTGCTTATTAATATGGAGACAGGAACCACATTGCTTTTTCTAATCTGGCCTTAGTAAAACAAAATTTCATTTGAAATCAAGGGAAACTAATCTTACCTGAAAATATACGCTGTAAGTTATCTCCCTTAGTTAGGTTCCCCGTGTGTAAAGTGACTTTATTTTTAAATTGTGTAATATAAATTTAGAGAAGTGGTATTCAAATATCAAGACGTGCTAAGATTTATACCATTGACCGATGCATTTCTTTTGATTGTATTTATGTTTTACTATTACCACGGTACATGTTCCTCTTTGTTAAACTGTGTCATAATCAGTAGAGTTAACACAAACACAAAACTTTGGTTGATAATGTCTGGTAAGGCCAGAGGTCTTTACTGTCCAAGAATATATTATGATATAATAAAATGATTAACCAAAAACTTCAAATACGTTTTCATATACTCGTAGAAAATGTTCTAATAGATGACACAAAGTTGGACAACAAAAGTCACCACACTGTCCCAAACATACAGTTGTAAATTCCAGACATGTGGAACAGATTAATTAACGTTACAAAATAAGCTAGAAATACATTTCAAATAGAAATAAGTGATGGTTACTAATCAAACATAAACCAATATATATGCGATATAAATTACGATTTTTTAAAATGCATGATACTCATGGATGGAGTTAAGTTTTTAAAAAAAATGTCCCAGATGATGTGATGCTTTCTCTTGGGTTTCAACAGAAGACTTTATTTCATCGATAGTAAAAAATCAGAATGAATAAAGTATCTTTATAAGATTTCTTTAATTCAATTTCAATTTTCATAATATTATATCATTTACACTTACTGAAATTATGATCTTTGGTGTTGGTTACTATCTAGGTCACTCATCT